GAACCATTATTTTTGTGAATACCCTGGGAGCTGACGATAGCCCGAAGGGAAGGGCCCGGAACTGAAAGTGATGATTTCCTAAACAAAAACGCAGAAATCTATTGTGCGGGGGAAAGATCGGGATGTGCATGTATGCATCTGTGAGGTCTAGGGACACAAGAAATTCCCCTGGCTGAAGTGATTCTGCAATTGATCTTAAGAGTCTCCATACGGAAGTGTTTGGGAACTATGAATTTGTTTATAAACTTCAGGTCTAAGATAGCTCTCCAGTCCCCTGTCTTTTTGGGGACTGTAAAAAAGGTTGAATAGACACCCAGTCCCTGTTGTTCCAATGGTACTGGCTCTATTGCTTGTATGTCTAAGAGGTGAGTCACCGCAGACCAGGTCCTGAGTCTCTTTGTATCGTTCTTGGGAAGGAATCTCTGAGGGGGGATTTTGAGAAATTCTATCTTGTACCCTTTGGTTACTACGCTTAAAGTCCAAGGGTCCAGTCTGGAATTGACCCACCTGTTTTTGAAGTATGTTATTCTTCCCCCACTTGTGAGTGTAGATAGTCATGCTCTAGCGGGTTTGGTGTTTTTGTCCCCTTTGTCTTGTCTGAAGAATTTTGGTCTCGAGAACCTGTTGTTTTTGTTGGCGCCTCTACGAAAGGATTGTCTGTTGTTGAAGTTATTGTTGCTCCATGACCTTCTCCTGGTGTCCTGGCGAAATCTCGGAAGCGTATGTTGTGCACGAAAGGAGGAAGATGTAGAAGCCTTGTCTCCCAATCTCACGAACTTGGAAAGTGCTTTCTTTTTGTCTCGAGTCTCTACCAGTATTTTCTCTAGGGGTTCAAAAAGTTTATCTCCCTGAAATAGATAAGCTATGACTATTGCTTTAGATTGATAATCTGCTGGCCATGACCTAAAACAAACTAGACAACGGACCGTGGCTGCAGATGCCATAGCCTTGGAGGAAAAAACCATAGAGTCTAATGTGGTGTCAGCTGTATAGGAAATGGCTTTTAAGACTCTGTTGGCTCCTTCCATCAACCTTGGGTTGTTCTCTGGGAGCATCTGTATGAGCTTCCTCATCCATACTATAGCAGCTCTTGACACTGTAGATGCCGCAGCTGAGGATTTAATTGCCATGGCATTGGACTCATGTGTTTTCTTTAGAGCAAACTCAGCGCATTTATCTAGATTATTTCGCAGGTTGTCGTGTCCGTCTTCGGAAACAAGTCCTGTAGACTGTAAGACTGTCACAGGAGCATCAACCATTGGTACCTGCAAAATACTAGAAGCCAGAGATATAGTAGGGTAAAGTCTTTTAACAAAGGCCGGAAACGGTTTGTTAGACATGGGTCGTTGCCATTCCGCTTTAATCTTTCTGACATAGAAGTCAGGAAATGGAAATGCCTGCTCAGAGTAATCCACTGGAGGGAAAAACTCATCCATAATTTCGTCTCCCTCCCCTTCTGTTTTTCCTTCCCCTTTGTGTGTCAGAGGGTAAGTGTTCTGAATGTGTAATGCTGACAGAGTTTTAGACAGGAGATATTGATAATCCTCTCCTTTAAAGAAACGAAAGGATTGTTCTGAAGCAGCAGGCTTCCTTCCTGCTTCCTCCTCATTGTCAGAAGAGAACTCTTCCTCATCACTAGATTTTTGGGACATGCAATCCTCTGCAAAGGGTTCATGCCTTTCAATCTGTGAGGAGAGGCCCTTCTTTGCTGCCTTTGTGGGCCAGGTACCTCCGTACTTAATTCTATCTGATGTGGTAGGAGAAGGGGATCTGGATCTGTGTCTCTTACCCCGACCCTGGGAACGTGCCATTTCCTCCCTTATGGCCCTCCTTAGAAATACCATAGCGCTATGGGACAGGGTGGGGGAACCGCGCTCATCTACATCACCACCCTGGAAGTCTGTGTCCTCCTCTTCCTCTCGGCTCATAACAACATGGGAGCCAGAATTATGCCCTTTTACATTAATGGGCTCAGATAATGGGGATAAGCACTGAAGGCCGCTCCCAGTTTCCGAAGTATGAGCTTTTGCATGCTTCAAAATGGCCACCGCGGGCGGCGCAGCCTTCTTCGCTGCTTTTGTTTTGGCGCGCTTCTTCGCACCAGCCTCTTCGCGCTCGGAAGATGGCGCATTATGCTGCGTTTGAGTCGCGGTCTCTGTGGTCTCTTTCCTGGCCGAATTGGCCTCTGGTGTTAGGAGGAAGCCGTCCTCCATCTGTCTGGGGTCCATGGCGCTCTGGCGGACCTCACAATGCAGCCTGCTATAAAGCGCTGCGGTTGGATGCCTCCTATAGAGGTCGATAGAAGGGGGGGCAAAGCCTAGCTAGCTGCTCTCCCTCTTGAGGCAGGAAAGAAACTGAAACTGGGGTGACTCCCACCACAGGAAACAGGAAGTTTTTTTAAGAGTTCCTGCCTCCCTGATTGATGGATGGGAATCACCCACAAGATGGCCTCCACCTCAGAGGGAGAAAGGATGATTGAAGGGTGACATGATAGAGGTTTACAAAATTATGCATGGGATAGAGAAGGTAAAGAAAGAAGTACTTGTCTCCCTTTCTCACAATACCAGAACTCATGGGCATTCAATGAAATTAAGGAGCAATAGGCTTAGGACAGATAAAAGGAAGTACTTCTTTGCCCAAAATGTAATTAACATGTGGAATTCACTGCCACAGGAAGGGATGGCAGCTACAAGCATAGACAGCTTCAAAAGGGGACTGGATAAACATATGGAGCAGAGGTCCATCAACGGCTATTAGCCACAAGATATGGATGGAACACTATATCTGGGGTAGTGATGCTCTGTATTCCTGGTGCTGGGGGGGCAACAGTGGGAGGGCTTCTAGAGTTCTGGTGCCACTGGTGGACCTCCTGATGGCACCTGGGTTGGACTGGATGGGCCACTGGCCTGATCCAACATGGCTTCTCTGATGTTCTTATCTTACTGTATCAATCTGTTTTAGCAACATGAACAACAGGATTTATTCTAATACTACCAAAAGACTTCTCTGCCGCAGCTATTCAACCATCTTGATTCATTTTAAGAAATCTCAATACTCTAACAATTTTTAGTCTTCTTCACAGTAACGTTTTTCTATTCTGTACCATCTTTTAACAATCAAAATCCCCTTTCTAAGCCCTCCCTTAGACTTCGTCACTGTTCTCTTCAGCCTGAGGTAGTACACTCAACTGCCAGTCCTTCAACTGTCATTGCTGAACTCCAACCACTCCTTCTCATCACCCAAGATTCTGAAAAGGGTCTTCCTAACTGAGTGGAAGGGCCATCCACTCAGCCCATCATATACCAATTCTTTTCCAACCAAGCTAATTCTTGGATTAAAATTTCAGCTAACAGAATGTAGTGTCATCTTAATTATATACATTAAAAACCTAAAATATCCAAAACTGTGTGTCTCACAATGGAATCTTAAACTAAGTTACATTCTTCAAAACTCACTGCCTCCAATGGAATTAGAAGGGTATAACTTTGTTTAGGATTGCACCGAAAGTCATTTAGTCTTTTGATGTAACAAAAACTATTTTCCTGACATGTTAATTTTTGTGTGCTGGCTTTTTCCCTCATAAGGGAACATCCAAAGATGTGATCCCATTCTGGCAGTCATGATGTCGAGGAAACGATTTTACTTCTTGATTTTGCTCACTGTTTAAACAGGCAACCATCCCACTAGTTCTAAGGTGGTTGTGTTTTTTTTAATTGGAAAATGTAAAATCAATGTATCATTTTATAGAAAATGAAACATTTGCACAGGATTAAGAAAAGCTGTTTCCATCAGTTTTGACGGTATACAGTTACTGTTCTGATACTTAATTAGTTCAAAATGAATCTTAGCAGAAAACTAAAGTTCTGTCATTATAGAAGATTACTGCCAAAGAACAAATCCGTTGGGCATACTGTTCCAAAAGAGGAAAATACCTAGAGATGCTCAATTTTTTACTAAGACTTCTCATTGTCTATGAGTGAGCCTTGGTGCACTTTCTTCTTCTCCGTTTTGTGGTGAACCACAGTCGGCCATTACCTTTAAACAGGCAAATGATGGATTGTGAGCCCTTCAAACCAGAACTGGAACCCATGAACAAATCATGCAAGGCAAGCACAAACTATAGTTTTGCAGTTGGGAAGTAATTTTAACCCATGGTTTGCCCCCAAATGGGAAGAGAGCAAGGGAATGCCAGCAAGTTAGAGAAGAAGGGAATGTGTGAACCAGAGACTCAAGTCAAACTGTGGCTTGGCATTTCTTCTCAGCCATCTCTAAGTTTAAAATCTGCTGTAAATTAATGAAAAACTGCTGATAAGTAAACAAACAGAGGAGTCTGACATAACAGAGCATTCAGTATAGAATGAAACACAGCCAAAATTTCTAATTTTCAATAAACATTTTAGAGTATTGCATAATTGAAAAGTTATATTTATGCACTGCAAAACAATTACTTACCTTCAAATAAACTGAGGTCTCTTCGTAGCCTTGGTCCATAAAGCCCTTCTAAAATACTTTCAAAGCCTAACAAAAATTAAAATGACAACATTTTACAATGCAGTTTCCCACTAAATGATGCATTAAAATCACAGCTAGAATACTTAAGAGTTGAAAATGTTTATAAATACAATACAGAAAAGTTCACCCCTCTTATCTAGTGGATATTCCAACATTAGGAGAGGTCAAGTGGCCACCTGCAAGGACTTGTGGGGGGAGCATCTCATTCCCCCTCCCCCACTATTTCCTTTTCCCCTTCCCTGAAAGTTCCTTCTCTCCTTCCCAGCAGCTAACCTACCTTTATTTGCCCCACTCTCGGCAGCCTGTACTTAGGGAAACTATGGCACAGCCGAATGCTGCCAGTTGCTGAGGCAGGCCCACTTTCATGGTAGGGAACCCTCAATTACTGTTGGGGAGCATATCACTTCCCCCTGTATCCTCTTTCCCACACTATTTCATCTTTCCCTCCTCCTGGCAATCTCCATATCCTCTCCCCTTTCCCTGCCTCATTCTCTCCTTCTCAATCATTCACCAACCTACCTTTTATCTGCCTCCCATATCCAGTTATATTGATTATTCATTTACTTCATTTATACCCTGCCTTTCTCCACAACACGGACCCATGCAGCTTACATCTTTCTCCTCTCTTCCTTTTATTCTAACAACAACTCTGTGAGGTAGATTAGGCTGAAAATATGCGACTGGCCCAACATCACCTAATGAGCTTCTATGGCAGAGTGGGGATTCAAATCTGGGTCTTCCAGATCCTGGTCTAAAACTCTAACCACTATGCCATACTGCCTTTTGTGAGGTGGCTGCTGTTGAACATTAGCGAGCAGCTGGGCCTGGGTGAGTCATGGAACTCTCATTGTATCAAATCACTGGTGACTGTTGTCAGGCCTGGACCTGATGAGTCCTTCTTCAAAGGCCAAAACAGTCCTAGAAAGAGCCCTACCCCCAACTGCTATTGACAGAAACCAAGCCTAGAATGCTGTAGTTGCCTAGCAATGGCCACTGAGGCTATCCATTTCTTAAAGCAACAGGCACTCCTTTTATCATTTTGGGGTTTTTTAACCCTTCCCAGTATATTTGTTTAGGTTTCAGATTTTTCTGCAATGGCACATCAGCAATAACCAACAGATAAAAGTTTGCAGAGGGGAAGTTCCATAACTGAGTTAATACAACAAGACAACAGTAAACCTCACTCGTACAACATAAGGAAATCACAGACCAGAGGTTTACTATTCAGTAGAATGGAAGCTTATAATTGAACTATATTGACAAAAAAAAATTAATGGCATATGCACAAGCACTTGTACATGGCAGGACTGGGGGAGAGAGAGTGTGTGTATGTGTATCCTTATTCTATTTTCCAGAGGTTTTTTTCCTGTGCAGATACTTATGTCCACCAACATGGGGCTCAGTCTCCCCCAACAGCTTTTCCTACATAGTCAGTAGACTTCCTGGGTTTGTACAAAAATCCAAAAACTAAAAAAATCCCTTCAGGGACGGCTGAATTCCCCCCAAAACCTTTTGAAATGGCTTCTACAGGGATATGCTTCAGGCATCAATGGTGAGAGATTAGAATGTTCGCGGGGGGGGGGGGTGGCTTCTAACTGGCTCTGTCAGGAAAAGGGGGGGGGGAGAATTTTCTACAGGGAGACAGACCTCTGCTGTCTAGAGTCCAGTTGTAATTCGGGGGGGGGGGGGGTCTCCAGGACCCATTTGGAGGTTGGCAACTCTAGGCCTGGCAGTAGTCTAGGGTAGCTGATGAACTTGCATGACTCACCTAGCCTCGGCTGCTAGCTACCGTTCATCAGCAGCCACCCTATGAAAGCCAGTGAGCTGCAGCAGTTAGAGCTTCAAAGTAACGTCTGCAAGACCCAGGTTCAGATCCCCATCTTGCAGTGGAAGCTGACTGCGTGATTTTGGACCAGTCACATATTTCAGCCTAACCAACCTCACAGGGTTGTTGTGCAGATAAAAGAGAGGAGGGAATAATGAAAGCTGCTTTGGTCCCCACTGTGGAGAAAGACTGTAATTTTCCTAGGTAGAGGCTGGGGGGTGGAGATGGAAAGCAGAAGACACAGAGGCAGATAAAGGTAGGTTGGCTGTTGGGTGGGAAGGAAATAGAGTTGCCAACTCCAGGTTGGGAAATTCCTGGACATTTGAGGGGTGGAGCCTGGAGAGGGTGGGATTTGGGGAGGGGAGGAACTTTGGACTGGTGTAATGTCATAGACTCCACCCTCCAGTCATTTCCTCCACGAGAACCACCATTGCCAGCCTCCAGGTGAGGACTGGAGATCACCCAGAATTACAACTGTTGTCCAGGTGACAGAGATTAGTTCCCCAGGATAAAATGGCTGTTTTGGACGTTTGAGTCTATGTCATCATACCCTGCTGAGGCTGCTTGCCACCCCAAGCCTTACTGTCCCAAGGCTCCACCCCCAAAATCTCCAGGAATTTCCAGCTGACAGCACTAAGGTGAATTGATCTCTGTAGCTGGGAGATCCGTTGTGATTCCCAGACCGCTGCCACTGCTGCTGTGGGGGGAGAGGAAGCAGGTGGGTGGCTAGGAGCACTGCCACTACTGCTGCTGCTCTGCGGAGTGGGGGAGGAAGCAGGCAGGAGGCTGGGAGAGTGATGGGGGCAGAAAGAAAGAATGATGGGGTGGGGGCAGAAAGACAGAGAAAGAGTGATGAAGTGGGGAGGCAGAAAAACAAAGAGAAAGATGACAGGTCAGAAAGAGAGAGGAAGTCACATGCATGGAGGAGAAATAGAGAGTAAGAAAAGGGGGGCAGAGGGGAGAAATAGTGTGAGAGAGGTAGAGGGTGAGGAGAGGAAGCAAAGGTGTGATGAATGAGATAACCATCCCACAAATTTCTTGCGGGTCTCCACACAAAGAGGGAATATTCCTGACAGTACTGAAATCTGAATGACTCGGCAAGTTTTATGTTTCAAGTATGTCGACCCACCACCACCCCACCACAAAATTCTAGTAAGTTTAACCATTACTTTAGAACTTTGAACTTCCTACTCTCTACACAAATGCTATCATAACCCTGCACAACTTCATGATAGCTTGCCCATTCAACACCATGAGTCTCCAACCATTCGGCAATACAACCAACTTCTAGTATTACATACTAGTGCTACTAGTTTTACGAACTGTTACAAATTCCTTAGTGATGATATACTCATTAAAGTCACCGTACCTGCAAAGAGCCAAAATTTAGGAGCCAGACTCATTTTCAGCCTTCAGGGTTCCATATTTTAATAACCAAATTTCTAATTACTCATCCTACAAAACTTATTGTAACCTCTTCCCAGTTTCTCATAATTTTATCAAAGCTGTGACCAAAGTGCTGTAATATACAGGGGCAGACTGGGAGACAGAAACAGACTGGGAGACAGAAACAGCTGGGGGAAAGGGACCTGCCCCCTCAAAGGAAGAAAGATGCAATCTGTTGGCCTGGCCTCAGGCCCACCATGGCCCAGTGCAGCAAACATATGGAGGGACAGAGAAGAGCCCTGCATCCCCCATGTCAGGCAAATCACACAGAGGCTGGGCTATCTGCCCGTTGCTCAACCAAGGCCATGCAAGGCGTGTCAGGGTTAGATGGATGGGCACCACCTCCCCCCAATGGCTGAGTGGCTGCTGCCATGTGGGAGCTGTAGGCGGCCCTTCTGCTACTGAACTGGCCCGGGGGCGGGGGGGGGGCACAGGCCGACCAGGAAATGTCCTGGTAGACATCATAGCCAGTCCACCCTGGCAGTATATAAGTAACTATAAAGGTAACTGTGGTCATCATCATCATAACAAAAAGGCAACCTCTAAATGTAGCATAACTTCTCCCCAATTCCTAATATTGTTATTGCTTTAAAAAGCTCAATTTAATTGAATGTTAGAGCCAATATAAAAAGCTACTGATTAAGAAAGGAATTAATCTATCACTGCTAAATGGTGTAAAGTTACATATAAACAAATAATGGCAAGGACTTCATGCACTTTTTAATGTCATACATCATACATCAAAACACTCTGATGTGAAAATGATTAATACAATTTGGGTTGGATCCAAATTGCTTTTCTGCTCAAGCACCTATCTGTGCATGGCAAGTCCTATTATCCAAACATAGCAATTTTTGGTGGCCAAAGAATACCTCTTCCGCCCTTTGTCACCAATGGAAAAGCTGTTTAGATCTAGACCTTTGTACTTCCACTGAGAATGGATGAAAATACTATCACCTAAATCCAATTTTCTAGGTACTGTGATGACATGGCATTTGAGATTTCAGCAGTCTTGGCTTAAGCTAAAGCAGAGGCATAAGTTGCTTTCCTTTTACTCTCTTTCAAGGAGAAATTGGCTGTGTTTCTTTTATTATTTCAATTTTAAAAGACATGGTTTTGGACCCAGAGGTATATTCCACCAGCAGAATAGCACTTGTGCTATCATAATTCTCTTGATGAAGAGAATTATTTTTTGCCTATCCCCCCCCCCCCCCCTTTTCAATCCAAGCTACTCTGGTCCTTCTAGTGGAAACTTCATTTTCAAGTCACTCAAGATAAGCATCTCCATGAATCTTCAGGGAGGAGAGAGAGCTGATGTTCAAAGATCATAACCACCTATGATTATTTGTCTAACAGCGATCTCCATCCAAGCAAGTGGTCAAGAACTCAAGAAAGTTCAACTTGTGGGCTTCTTATGATAGTTGGTGTCTGATGGGTGACTGGAATGGAGTTATTGTTCCATATATGGAAAGATCATCTGAAAAGATTAAGATTAACCAAAGTAAACTGCCCAAGTCTTTTTTTTTTATTTGACAGACAATATGGGTTTAGTTGACATATGGAGGCAGGAAAATGGCAGTTCTAAAGAATTTACCTACTTTTCAGAGAGACACAGATCCACTGCAAGACTTGATATGATTTTGATATCTAAAGATCTAGCCACGAAGGTTATAAAATCAGAGATTTTACCTAAGACTTTTCTCAGATCATAATCCTGTAAACCTGATATGTAA